AGAAGAGACAGAGCCAAAGCAAAAACAATGCACAGTTGTGGATGTGACTGGTGATGGAACTAAAGTCCTATGCTATAAAGAGCAATATTGCATAGGAACCTGGAATGTTAGGCCCATGAATCAAGGTAAATTGCAAGTGATCAACAGGAGATGGCAAGAGTGAACATCAACATTTTAGGAATCAGTGAACTAAAATGGAGTAGAATGGCTGAATTTAACTCAGATGACTTATATCTACTACTGTGGGCAAGAAACCCTTAGAAGAAATGGAGTAGCCCTCATAGTGAACAAGAGTCCAAAATACAGTATTAGATGCAATCTCAAAACTGACAGAATGATCTCTGTTCGTTTCCAAGGCAGACCATTCAATATCACAGTAATCCAAGTGTATGTCCCAACCACTAATGCCAAAGAAGCTGAAGTTGAACGGTTCTATGAGGACCTACAAGAACTTCTAGAAATAACACCCAGAAAAGATGTCCTTTTCACCATAGGGGACTGGAATGCCAAAGTAGGAAGTCAAGAGATACCTGGAGTAACAGGAAAGTTTGGCCTTGGAGTACAAAATGAAGCAGGGCAAAGGCTAACAGAATTTTGCCAGGAGAACGCACTGGTCATAGCAAACACCCTCTTCCAACAACACAGGAGACAGCTCTGCACATGGACATCACCAGATGGTCAACACCGAAATCAGATTGATTACATTCTTTGCAGTCAAAGATGGAGAAGCTCTATACAGTGAGCAAAAAGAAGACCAGGAGATGACTGTGGCTTAGATCATGAACTCCTTATTGCCAAATTCAGACTTAAATTGAAGAAAGTAAGGAAAACCACTAGACCTTTCAGGTATGACCTAAATCAAATAATTTACGTTTATACAGAGGAAGTGAGAAATAGATTCAAAGGATTAGATCCGATAGAGTGCCTGAAGAACTATGGACAGAGTTTCATGCCATTGTACAACAGGCAGTGATCAAGACCATCCCCCCAAAAAAGAAATGCAAAAATGCAAAATGGTTGTCTCAGGAAGCCTTGCAAATAGCTGAAAAAAGAAGAGAAGCAAAAGGCAAAGGAGAAAGGAAAGATACACCCATCTGAATGCATAGATCCAAATAGCAAGGAGAGATAAGAAGGCCTTCCTCAGTGATCAGTGCAAAGACATAGAGGAAAACAATGGAATGGAAAAGAAAATTAAAGATACCAAGGGAACATTTCATGCAAAGATGACACAATAAAGGACAGAAAGAGTATGGACCTAACAGAAGCGGAAGATATTAAGAAGAGATAGTAAGAATACACAGAAGAACTATACAAAAAATATCTTCATGACGCTGATAATCACAATGGTGTGATCACTCGCCTAGAGTCAGACAGCCTGGAGTCCGAACTCAGGTGGGCCTTAGGAAGCATCACTATGAACAAAGCTAGTGGAAGTGATGGAATTCCAGCTGAGCTATTTCAAGTCCTAAAAGATGAAGCTGTGAAAGTGCTGCACTCAATATGCCAGCAAATTTGGAAAACTCAGCAGTGGCCACAGGACTTGAAAAAGGTCAGTTTTCATTCCAATCCCAAAGAAAGGCAATGCCAAAGAATACTCAAACTACCACACAATTGCGCTCATCTCACATGCTAGCAAAGTGATGCTCAAAATTCTTCAAGTGAGTCTTCAACAGTATGTGAACTAAGAATTTCCATATGTTTAAGCTGGACTTAGAAAAGGCAGAGGAACCAGAGATCAAATTGCCAACATCTGTTGGGTCATAGAAAAAGCAAGAGAGTTCCAGAANTTTTGAACTGTGGTGTTGGAGAAGACTCTTGAGAGTCCCTTGGACTGCAAGGAGGTCCAACCAGTCCATCCTAAAGGAAATCAGTCCTGAGTATTCATTGGAAGAACTGATGCTAAAGCTGATACTCCGATACTTTGGCCAACTGAAGCGAAGAACTGACTCATTGGAAAAGACCCTGATGATGGGAAAGATCGAAGGTGGGAAGAGAAGGGGACAACAGAGGATGAAATGGTTGGTTGGCATCACTGACTTAATGGACATGAGTTTGAGCAAGCTCCAGGAGTTCGTGATGAACAGGGAAGCCTGGCGTGCTGCAGTCCACGTGGTCTCAAGGAGTCAGACACGACTGAGCAACTGAACTGAAGAAAGAACCTAACATCCAACAAGAGCTCTAGCTTGGCCTGGCTATATACTGAGCCCCTCCCCAACACCATATCACCTTCTGCCAGCTTCATTGCCATGTGTGTTCTTTACAGTGCCTGTCTGAGCAGTGGGACGGGCAGGTCACAAAGATTTCACCCATAAGGACCCAACACTGAGTGCTCGGATGCTCACCCCAGGGTGCAACCAGCTGGACCCAACTCCGCCAGATACCCAGGCCAGGACTCACTCAGTAGGGCTCAGGGAGCCCTGTAATTTCAGCCACCCTCTTGCTGCCTGACTCTGTGACATCACATGGCCATCCCCAGCCAGGTAATCCAGGGGAAGAGGATCACTCCTCGAGGCAGAGGCACACAGCCCAGGCCAGCAAGCTGCCCATGACTACCCAAGAGTGAGCAAAGACTATTCAGGAGGAAGAAATGGGCACATGGGCTATGAACACAAGAGGATGAGTGAGAAGTTTCAGAACAGACATGAGAAAGACACAAGATGTAAGAGGCCCATGGTGACATGATGTCAGTGGGCGGTTCTGAGATGGGTATGTTGAGCCAAGGGGACCCAAAAGATTAGGTGGAGACCTTGGGGCTCTTGTCTCTGACATGAGACATACCCAGGTGAGCCCAAAGGGCAGCTGAGCCTCAGTATAACTGACATGAAGGGGAAAGAACAGAGGCCCAGGGAGGAGTCCTAAGGATAGTTTGCTTGCAGGAAAGAGATGCAAAAGAATGGTCAGGGGTGCTGGGCATCCCAGAAGCTAAGCCCAGAGCTTCAAAAAGAAGATGAGGTCTTAACTGAAGAAGTGAATCGGGGCAGAGCCTGAGAAGAGGGCACAAGTGTTGGTGGGAACAGGTCACGGAGAGCAGGTCTTTGGCAACCTCACTGCGTCACTGTGAACTACAGGCCCTCAGAGGGCAGGGTCCTGTCTGACATTCTCTCTGCACCAAGTTCTGTGGCCTGTCTTTGTCTAAGACTCCAGCATTTCTTTCTGAGCTTGGCCCAGGGTCAACACATTGATGACCTAGCTAGAGTCATCCTCATAACTGACTTTGGCCAGACTCCCCTGGAGGGTACCCAGTCCCCAGAACCTGACCCTCATGAGGTGACGTGGGCACGGCCTCCATGAGCAGCTGAGGTCCTGAGAAAGCCTCACCAGGAAGGACACCACGGTTTTGGCCCCGATGGCTCCCAAGGAGGGTGCAGGGTTTGGGACCCAGGGAAAGCCCTTTCTCAATCCACGTGACCTGAGGTGGACCGCAATCTTCCTCTCACAATGGCATCTCGCAGCCCTGTGTGATGACTGACCCCCAGTTCTCACACCATCCTGGGCAACAGCTGCTTGCTCCAGCCCAGTTGTCTACCCAATATTCTGTAACTTGACCCAACTCCCACACCACCCACTCCTACCCACACTTCAGGAAGGAACAGCTGGGTACTCGGTATGAATAGAGAAACAAGCGCTGGAGCCAAGGTCAGGAAAGCAAATAGAGGGGTCAGTTCTTACCTGTTACCCTTAAGAAATAAAATTCATGTTTTATAAGGAAAATATAAACATAAAATTTTTCTCTGTCCTTTGGTCTGCTCTCACCTCCAACCATGCATTGTTATTAGTAAGTCTGCATTATGCATCGACCAAGACTCCCGGGCCACAGAAACAATTGCTCAACCATGAAATGCAACATTCTCCTAACACCAGCCAGACAACTTTTTAAACAGATAACATTCCTTCTTGATCTTGTAAGGGGTCACAAGGCACTTAGATCTGGATTGTGTAAAGTGTTCATAGCATGTCATTTAATGTACAGTCTTCTGCCTCAAAAAACTTTTATAACTGTGCCTTGGTTTCTAATGGGCAGAACTTTCTGAGATGCTTTTCTCTGGTCACAATCTTCAAATTTGGCTCAAGTAAAATTTTCCATTTCTTTCTTAGATCGGATGATTCATTTTCTATCAACACTATGAAAGATTTCACTGAACATGAGTCACACCACAGTGGGATTCCTTTTCTCTGGGGTTCTAGGAGCAGTGGGGGTTCTGGAAGCCCTGGGGAACCTCCCAAGGATGGAGGGGCTACTGAGTAGTCACTGAGGCAACATCTTTACCCTGGAGGAGGGATTAAGAGGTGGAAAGTTTGAGGCATTCTAGGCAGGGGCCCCAGGGAGAGAAAACTCCAGAAAGGAAAATATTCATCTCTTTCCGGGAGGTTCCTCCCTCCCTTGGCAGCCAAATACTCCTGGGCCAAGGACAGAGCAAGCAAGTCAAAGGGGCCTGGTGGATCCTATGGCTTCTCCCCCCAAGAAGTGTGATTCACAAAAATTGTCTTAACTTGGGAGTTTCCATTTCTTACTATACTACATGGAACACCTACCTGCTTCTTAGGGTTGTGACAAAGCTTAAAAGAGACAGAGTTCACAGAGTGATTAAAGAGGTATCTAGGCATAGAGATACCACAATATGTGGAGGATGCTATTACATTATGACTTTTGCAGAGCTCTTCATTGCATTGTTTATTGTGGAGATGCCTTACAATAAATAGGCCCCTTTTTTATATAAATCAGGCCTAACAAAGAGTGAATAAACAGCCGTATTTACTAAGTGTGGCTTTCAAACGTTGGAACTCAGAATTTCCAGTCTGTGTAACAGCCACAGCTCAAACATTTGGCAGCAAGTAATGGATTTCCAAGGGCAGGTCTAGGCTGGTGCTAGGTGGGGCCTGAAAGCCACAAGAGGAACCCAGAGTTGGCCTAGCCCAGGGGGTGGGGTCAGAGGAGGGTTGGTACTGGGTGGGGCCTGGGGCCTGCCTGCTGGTGCTACCACACCCCACCCCAAGCTGCCTGCTCCTCTGAGTGCAGTGGGGTGAGTGTGCAGAGTCTCTGAGTGGAGGGAGGGCTGACCAGTGTATCTTCGTCTCCCTGGGGAAAGGTGCCGGCGAGGTGGACGACATGGCCTGGTGGAAAGCTTGGGTAAGTGTAGAGCAAGCAAAGAGGGAGGGTTCCACACAGTGTTGGTCTAGAGAGAAGTCAGCTCAGGCAACATCTGCTGCCTGCCCGGCCAGGCACTGGACTGGGCTGCCCACTGGGGAGGAAGACAAGGAGATACTGCCCCAGCCCCATGGATGCTCATGGCCAGAAACAATGGAAACAGGGGAGGCGGACCGAAGAAGGAACCTCAAAATGCACCTGGGGAAGCTGCGGGGCTGAGAGAACCCAGATGGAGGGTCAGGCTGCTGGAGGCGAAGGGGAATCATGGTTAAGTAATCTGTGTGTCTGTGTGTCTGTGTGTGGTGTATGTACAAGTTCACAGAGAACCAGGTAAATGTTGCCTTTGAGAGGGAACAGTATGTACAAAGGCTCAGAAGAGTGGGAAGCTTGGTTTTAAAGAGAACGGTACTGGATGGGAGGGTAGTGGATCAGGGGAGATGTACCTAGAGACGCAGGACAGGGCTGGGTCCTACAGAGCCACCCTTGGCAGGAAAAGGAGCTTGGGCTCTCCCTTAAGAGCAGTGGGGAGCCATTGAAGGAAGTTGAGCTAGAGAGCATCCTGAGTGAATAAGCTGGTGTTGGAGGACTCATCAATGTCCACCCCTCAGGGGATGGCAGGACAGCCTGGCCCGCAGAGGTTTTGTACAGTTGAAATCTGTGAGTGAAATTTACAGTGACAGATGGCTGAGTTAGGAGAGATGAGACATTTTGCCCCTAAGTCTCCCATGTCCAGGTGAATGCACAGATTCTCAGGAGTGTTTCATCTGGGTTTGAGTCCAAGGCTGTCTCTGCTAAGGAGATGAGAACACAAAAGGGGAGGAAGATGAGGAGAGGGTACATCCCATACTCAATGAGGGGCTAGGGGGATGTGCTCTGTACACCTTCCTTCAATTCATCCCCAGGCAGCCCTGGGGTAGAAAAGCTGCTGTTTTCACTTGACGGAGGAGGAAACTGAGGCTCAGTGACATCTAGTGACTTGCTCAATCCCACAGCCAGCAGGCGGGGATCTAGTGTGAACTGGGGTCTCTCTCTGTCCCCCCTCCCAGGCTCTCTGTGAGTTTCAGTGGGCAACCTGGGCTTACCACAATTCAGGAAGAGAATTTGTCACAAATGTCACTTCCCAGGAGCTCTCAGATTCAGACAAGCTAGGCTGGGACAGGAGGGACAGAGAGGAAGCCAGGGGCAAGGTAGGGTGACTGTCTGGCCCTGGCGAGGCAGCCAGGCAGCTCGAGGCCCAGGGTGGCCTCCAACTTCATCCTGGCTGATGGCAAACAAGCCTTTGAGGAGGCAGATGTGTCAGGGAGAACCTAGTGCTAGGCACTTTCCAAAGCCCAGGGTGGCCTGATTCTGGGCCTTGCTCCCAAAATCAGGGGCAGGGTAAAGGCCCATCCTTGTGGCCCACCCAGGCAGGCAGGCAAAAGCCTCCTTGTAGGGACCTGACCAGCCTGGCAGAATGACACTGACACTTCCTGAGTACGTACTGTGCCCTGGACATTCTTGTGTCAATCTCTCACTTGGGCCTCAAGACATCTCTGCCATAGAAATACCCATATCCTTATTGACAGATAAGGAAACGGAGGCACAAGGAGGATAAGATGGCATCCAAGGTCGCCACACTAGGAAATGCTGGAGTCTGGGTCAGACTCTGAGCAGTCTGACGTCAGAGCTCAAACTCTGTGGGGCTTGGCAACCCACAAGCCAAGGGCATCAAGATCACAGGTAGACCCCAAGTGAGATTGGCTGAGCTTCCAGTGAGGGACAGATGACCTCTGAGCCTCTAATGAGACCAAGACTGGACCCGAGGGATGTGAAAGATCAGCTCGAGGGAACCTGACTGTGCCTCTCTTATGGAGATGACGTTTCGTCTCTCAAGTTCTCCCCGGCAGCCTTGTGACTGGAGAAGGCAAGGGTGTGGCAATTCACCTGAGACCTTCACAGATACATAACAGATGGAGAGTCACAAGCCAGACTGAGTCATCTTTTCAGTGAAAATGTTCTGTATGGACTGGCCCACTCTGCACAAGACCCAGGAAGGACCTAGACAGATCTTTCCTCCAACATGGTGGGGGGTGGGTTGGTCTTAAATAGAATATCAGGAGCTCCAACACCCCATGCTCACAACCAGGGGTCTGATTCCTAGGGAATTGTCTGTTTCACCTATAAAACCTTTGTGTGAAAAGTGAGGCTGAGGCTTCTCACTGCAGTGAAATCACAGGCCCTCGAAAGCTATTTACAAACACTGCCTCTGGAGCCCAACCTCAGACCCGCTGAATCCGACACTCACTCCGTGGTGACTAGTATATGTGGCCTGGTGTGTCACTGCTCCACAGCCCCTGAGTGCCAGCCTGGGGCAAGAGGCAGGAGGAAAGCTCCTCCTGGGTGGCCCCCAAAGCTTAGCACTGAGATCTGAGATGACCCAACACTCACAAACAACCTGCATTCCTGTGGGCAAGGTTTCCTTCAGGGAAGAGTTCTGGGAAACCTCGGTGTCTGGAAAAGGTTGAGTCATTGATAGCAGCGGGGGCGGCAGACAGCTGAGCTTCTGAGTCAGGCTGTGGGTTAAGTCCAGCATCACCATTTACTAGCTGGATAGCCTTGCCAAGTTCTCCAAGCCCAGTCTGTCAAATGGGGCATTCATAACTACCTAATGCAACTGACAGAGACGTCAAGAAGAGCATTGCATCTAAAGTACCTAAAGCCTCTAAAACACAAAGCCTGGTGCATAGGACCTGCTCAAATCTTTAACAGTAGTAACAGATGCTTGTGACTCCACAAACAGGGGTTGTGATCTATGCGTGCACCCAGCTGGGCAACATCTGGGACCACACAGGCTCTCTGGATCAAATTGCCACAAAGAATTACTTCTAATAATTTCTTCTATGAAACTTGGTGCTAAAGAAACAAAGTAGGAAAATCTGTCACTAGATACTTGAAATTCAAGCAAAGGATAAAGAAAGACTTCTTATCTTTTGCTCAAAAGAAATATCTTTATAGATATACCATGGATGGGAAGCTGCTCTGCATTTTCAGGAACTAGCTAGAACCAGGAAGGAAGGGAAAACAGAAGGGGAAACAGGAGGAAAAAGGAAGGGAGGAAGGATGGATGGATGTGGTGACTGGATGGGTGGATGGATGAGTGGAATGATGTGGTAGTGGGACATCTGGGTAGCAAATGAATGAGTGGACTGGTGGGTAGATAAGTGGAAGAGTAGATGAGTGGATGAGGGGTGGAGAGGAGGAGTAGTTGAACAGGCGAGTGGGAGACCAAATGCAATGGGACTAAATTCCCTTCCATTTGAAGGGTCTCTGAGTCTCCTTCAAACTCAGTCCCCATCTCCAATCTCCCTCCACTCCTTTATTGCCCATCTCCCAAAACACACACTTAAGAGGGATCATTCATCTGCACCTGAGACATTCTGCAGAGCACAAGTCTCAGGAGCCCTCAGGCAAGACTTGGATTAGAGACTTGGAAATAAAGGGCCTAGGGACTTTGGTTATATGGTTTATTTCACAGCTTTCAGAACATCATGCTGTTTTTTCTAAAGCTAACTCTCTGCCCCTCAAGAGCCTGAGGACTTGGAAAGGCCCAGGGCTGTCAGGATGCTCAACTGGGTACCCTTGCCCTCTACTATCTTATAAGCACCCACTTCTCAAGGAGAGGGCAGATTGAGCTCAAACTGTTCCTGGCTTCCCAGCCTCATCTGCACACTTTTCAGGCAGCATGTTGAGCTCCATGAAGACTTTTCTTACTTGATCACTGTCCTTGCAGCTTTGAGCAGGGTTGTCCCTTCCTGTTGCCTGCCAGTGGCTCTAGAGGGACCTGGGGGTGGCTGGGCCTGCTGCCTGCCTCAGATGGCATTGCCTAAGGGAGACACAGCCTGATTCAGAGCCCACACCCCAGCACAGGGGCAGGGATGGGAGCGGTTTTGTGGCTCTGGCTGGCGCCAACCTGTTAAAACAAGAGGCCTTTCTGCAGAGGAGACAAGGCAATCCCACAGAGCTCCCAGGGAAACCAGCAGTCCCTCACAGTCAGGCCACGGTCTCTGGGGTACCCTTCCCTACACAGTTAATGCCTTGGAGTGACCAATCCCTGGGTCATTTGGCCTCACAGATCTCTCCAATGATGAGATTCCATCATTGTACCATGTCACCCCAGTAAAAACATCGCTGGACTCTGAAGGATGCTCCCTCTTCAGCATCGCCCCCCCCCCCAAACCCCTGCTGATTCTTTTTCAGGGCAAGCTCCCTACCCTAACTCTATCCTCCCAAATTTTTTGTTTTTTTTATTTTTATTTTCCTTAAAGTCCATTGATCATCACAAAAACCCAGGAAGTGCAAGTAAGGAGGAAACAAATGTCTAACTGAGGATCTAAGGACCCAGAGCTAGAGAGGAAACATGGTGTGGGACTAGGGTGTGTAGAAGGGGTTGGAGGCATGGTCCCCATGGAGCAACTGGCCATGGGAGAGCTGAAGGCTGGAGTCCAGTCTCCAGACCCTCTTCTTGCTGTCCCACAACCAGCACGGTGGCTCTGGAAGTGGCCACAGTGCCAGCTACCTGTGAGATCTTTCCCTACACTGTCTGAGCCTACAAGCCCCAACTCCCCAGACCTGGCACTAGGGCTGAGAGCTGGGATTCCATCTCTTAGAGTGGCACTGACCCAGTCCTCCTCAGAAGGCCCTCCTTCCAGCCTGAAGGCCCTCCTTCCAGCCTGAAGGCCCTCCTTCCAGGCCTCCCCTTGACCGAGGCGCTAACAGGCACGTGAGGCCTCTGCAACCCTGACATGAGGGGGCCGTATGGCAACTTGATGCCAAGTAGACAAAGGTGCCCCTTCCTCAGCACAATCTGCCAGAAACTAGCATATCCAGAAGCTGCAGCCTCCACTCACCCCGGGAGGACAGGCAGGACCAGGATGGGTGGAGGCTCAGCCGCTGGTCGGCAGGGGCCGAGCTGGTGCCCGCCCTGCTGAGGCAGCTGCAAGGTGCACTGCTTTCCCCCACTTCTGCTCTGAGCAGGCCTGGATTCTCTTGCAGGTTGAACAAGAGGGCGTCTCAGTGAAGGGCAGCCCCCACTTCAACCCAGATCCTGATGCAGAGACCCTCTACAAAGCCATGAAGGGGCTTGGTGAGTGGCCTTGATACAGGAACTCAGTGACTCTCTGGGGATCTGCCCATTCTGCTCAAGACCCCTCTGCTCACACCCTTGGGAGTCAGGGTCTCCCCATCATCTACTGGCACCCAGAGAACCACACAGGGCCCACATTCCCCAGCACAGGTCTACACAGGCCCGAAGACTGGAGGTGGGAGGGCAGTTGTGAGTAATGGGGGTGGGAAGCAGGAGGCCATCTGCCATGTGTTACTGCACGTCCTTGTGCAGGGACCTCCTCTCACTCAGCCGGAGCTTTCACACTTGAAGAATAGCCCCAAGAAATCTGGGCCCTGTGTGTCACTGTGAATTTCAGATGGGACAATATTGGGAATTGTGGGGGGCTGATCTAGTCCCAGGGGGCTCCAGCCATGCAGACTCTGCAGTATTTCCCCCCACCCAGCTTAGGCTGGCCATGGGACCGACTTCATCCTGCCTCCAGTGTCTTTTTTCCTGATGGCTGGCCAGAGACCAGCTGAGATTAGGATAACCCAGCCCAGACAGCCCTCACGTTGTCACCCTAGGCAGGATTTACCCTTTCACTGGCTCCAACTGGTGAACTGGGGCATTAACAAAAACTGCCATTCCCAGACAAACTGAGAAGGAATTTTCTGTCCTCTGCTTCCTGTGAACTCTTTATTATTATCTCCATTTCCCAAAGAAAAATGCAGTGGCTTGGAGAGGTGAAGCTTCCTGTCCACCCAGCCACCGGGCCAGGAATCAGATCTGGTTTTCTGGATCCTCTGTCCCCACCGTCCCCCACGGTCACCAGCGCAAGGGAGGTCAGGGCGGGAAGTGAGCTCCAAAGGCCCTGGGCGATGTCCAGAGCAGATCAGATGACCAAAGGGGCCTCAGAGTCCATCACTGGGAGGCTGAGCCTGGGCTGCACCCACATTGTGTGGGTCAGGGGTGGACAGGAAGATTTTCCGTCTGTCTTGTCCACACCATGAAAATCATCAGGTTTGGGAGCTTTCCAGTTGGTGCCTCCCCACTGTTGGCCACCATGCAGCTGCCCTCCCTCCTCCCCAGCCCTCATCAGCCCCTGGGGGAAATGGGGGTGCTCATGCCATGCGCCCTGCAGGGACCGACGAGCAGGCCATCATTGACGTGCTCACGAAGAGGAGCAACGCCCAGCGGCAGCAGATCGCCAGTTCCTTCAAGGCTCAATTTGGCAAGGTAAAGGCGGGGCAGGTGTGCTCAGGTGGGCTGTGGAGACTGCTGCTGCCAGAGACAGCCTGGAAGGCAGCACCATGATGGATGAGTTCCGGCTGGTCTAGAGCCCAGCTCACTGGTGAGACAGGCATTTAGGAAATATGCTAAAAATATGGTGCATTTTATCTCTGAAAATCAGATTTACCTCATCATCCTGTGTTTTACCTAGAAAACTTACTTACAGATGGCTCCCCACAGCCCTGGCTTGGGCCAGCCTTCTGCCCCCCACCCCATGCTTCCCAACCTCTCTCTCTCTTGCTCCTTTACATCTGCTCCAGGGTCCCACCCCTGAGCTATTTCCCTGCCTCTACACTTTTCTTGTCCAGTTTCCTGAGCCTGGAAGGCCCTTTTCTCTCCCACATGCCAGGGATGCTGGGCAGACTCGGCCCTGTGCCGTGCAACAGGGCTGTCTCCTCACATTGGCGCTGACATTCATGTACAATTTCCCTCTTGCCATGGGGGAAATCCAAGGGCAGGGAGCACACAGTCTGGCTTTGTCCCTCCTCCCACTGCCCCAAGGACAGAGCCAGACATTGGTGCGCCAGCTAAAGAGAGTAATAAATGCAAGCAGAGTCGTGGTAGCTGGAAGCCTCCATCAGCACACATCAATAATGTGGACATTTAACCCAGAAAGACGAGTGGCAAAACCCAAACACTGCATATAAGAAACCAATATGCTCTTCTAAAAAATAATTTCTCTCTCTTAACCTTCACAACTATGCATTATTCTCTGCATTTGATGTTAGAGGAGACTGATGGTCTGAGAGGTAGAGGATGTCGTCCAAGTCTCCAGAGCCTGTAAGAAACAAGGTCGGATTTGAAATCTAGATCTGAAAAGGCCCTTGGTCCTTTAGCTGTGAGAAGGTCAGCTGTGTGTGGCCTTGTGGTTTCTTGCAATCACAAGTGCCCTTAGAAGGAGACATGCATAAAATAGATTCTTTAATTCATTTCACTCATTCGTTGAGTGTCTACGGGCTAAATGACAGGGACTCAATGGAGAGTAATGACAAACTTGTATTTCGGGATTATGGTGTGTCCTACACTGCACTGAAAACGGGCTTGACATCTCTCTGCCAATCCCCTAAGCAATGGTATAAAGCAGGTACACCATGGTGTCTATTCCACAGGAAAGGATAATGATACTCAGAGAGGCTGAGTTGCTGGCCCAAGAAACCCCAGCCAGCACCAGCACATGGCAGAGCCTACTTGGGAATCTAGCCAGAGCCCCCGGGCCCCACCACCATCCTTGCCAGCACTCCAGTGGGTGCAGCACACAGAATATCACCATTCCCTCTTCCTGCCTTAGGATCTCATCGAGACCTTAAAGTCGGAGCTGAGTGGCAAATTCGAGAGGCTCATCATAGCCCTCATGTACCCTCCATACAGATACGAAGCCAAGGAGCTATATGATGCCATGAAGGTAACCAAGCAAGTGGGGTGGGGGAGGGACAGAACCACTTACAAGGACTGAATGGGGCGGGGGGATGATGCCCAGGACTCCTTTCCCCAGAAAGCCTGGCACGGGGAGCTCCAAGCTCTCCTTGAGCCACTGTTTGGAATGAGCTCAGCGAGCTGCCAGCTTGCTGCTCATGAGACCATAGAACGCATTTCAGGACTTAGTAGAACGTAGGTTCTTCTGTCTCAGAGCAGAAAGAATTTGGTGAGAGGCAAAGTGACAGATAAGAGTGATTTATTCGAATAGAAAGCTTGTCAGGCTAAGTGGGCTACAGCTTTATAATCAAAAAAAAAGTGGGGAGGGAGAGAAGACCACCTTCTTCCTCATTCTTGACAAGATCCCAAACTTCAATCATCATTTCCTCCTCCATGATGGGTAGGGGATTTTCTTGTCCCTAAATAGTCAAATCGGGACTGTCATGAAACAGTGGAAGTGAGCAAAAAGGCTGTAACATACACTAAAATATGGTAAATCATCTCAGTTTTCAATATAAGGTCTCCTTTTCCTTAATTTTTGTTTTTACTGCAGGCAGAAGAGCCTGTCCTAGGAATCATTAACTTACTGAGCTCACTGGGCAGGATATGGGTCTCATTCCACCATTGTTTTATTGTTTGGGGGAATGTGTCCTGCTTCTGTTGCATAGTTTTGTTGCTAAGCAAGGCTGCTTGGTTTTGTGGTTAAGCAAACCTGTTTTCCTGAGTGATCATTAATTTACAGGGGTCTCCCATACTTTTTTCTCTACTGACCATCCCCTAGTGGGATTAACTATTTAATCATCTACTTTGTCTCTTAACTCTGTTCCTATCACTCAGACTGCCATCAAACACAGACTGGCCTCCTGCGTCACCTGGTCTTGATAAAGCCAAAATCAGTCCTTTTCAGGACACCACTAGACCAGGTATGCAGGAATTAGGAACCAGCCTCTGCTGTCTCATGCCTGGTTCTCCAATTTCCCTTTACTTCCCATTGCTCCTTTTAAATTTGAAGATGATTCAGGAGTCAGGACCAAGGAACAATAATCATCTCCATGGAAAGGTCATTTACTGTGTACATGGACCTGCTGGGCATTTTACATCTATCACCTCCACCCCCGGGTGGGGATGATTTATTATCCCTGTGTCCTGATGAGGATCCTTAGGCTCAGGGATGTCGAGCAACCTGTTTGGGAACACCCAGCTAGGGAGGGGCAAGCTGAGACACAGTTTTCCCATCACATCACTTGCCCATAACAGCCACCACTGGAGACAAATGCAGGTGGTTTCCTCCAGTAACATCCTCGAGCAGAGGCCTCCCAGCAGAGCGATGACTAATTCTTCCTAGGGCTCTTCCTTGTGCCTCTTGACAAAAAAAGGGTGTGGACACAGCAGAAGGGTGTAAATGGTTCTCTCCAGTAAGCAGATATTGTTATCCACAGGGCATAGGAACCAAAGAGGGTGTCATCATTGAAATTCTGGCTTCTCGGACCAAGAACCAGCTGCGGGAGATAATGAAGGCATATGAGGAGGGTAAGGGGCCTGTCAAGAGGAGAAGATGTGGGCCCTGAGTTAAAGGCTAGCTTGGAAATGGCCATGAGCTTTGGCAGCGTAGCAGGGAATAAGAGACAAGAAGTGTACAGGGCCACATTGGAAAGGACTCTTTCTGGGCTTTTCCACAAATGGGTGCTGAGCACCCACTGTGTGCCAAACCCCATGCCTGATAGTGAGGTCAGATATGGCTCAGGCTTAGCAGCTCAGCTCCCTAAATTCACAAGCTGCTTGCTGGAGGGAAGGGCATGCAGACACTAAACTCTGCCCCTTGAGAGTGTGGCAGTGCTGCGGGCCACATAATTTTTCAGCAGTGGGTGGTGGGGCTGGTACCTTCCTGTCTGGGCCTAGGCTGACCCCAGGGACCATGCAGGGCCCCATTTCAGCAGTGGGGGATGTGGAGCCCAAGCTAGCTATCATGGAGTCCATGGTATGCAAGGCAAAGCCCCTCTTCCTCAAGGTCTGCCTGGTGAGGAGTCTGTCTGAAGGTTCTGGCTTTGATGAGCCCCATGATGAAATGGAGCTTTATCAGGCTCTCTGGACTGGCCCATTTCTGTGTTTTGAGCCTGGCCAGCAACCCATGTCGCTTCCTTGCTCTGAACGACAACCAGTGGGGAGCCTCTGCTACTCAGACACTTGCACAGTGCAGACACTGTCTGTACCAAAGACTCATCCTTCCTAGAAGGCTTTAGTCAGGAGGAGTATGGGAAACAGGGCTGAGAGGGGAAGAGCAGGTCTAAGTTTCATGGTCCTGATCCCCTGCAGACTATGGGTCCAACCTGGAAGAAGACATCAAAGCAGATACCAGCGGCTACCTGGAGAGGATTCTGGTGTGCCTCCTGCAGGTATCACAGCCCTGGATCCTGGGAACCCCTTGTCTGGGGGACCCCAACCACTTCCCACTCCCAGAGAGCAGATCTTGGGCAGAGCTGCTGGGGTTGGGTGAGGTAGGGCCAAGGGTGTGGTACAACCACTGGGGCCTGGGCTCACTGGGTTCATCCCAGCATGGTTGGGAGGTCCTCAGTGCAGAACCCCTGCACCTCTCCAGGAAGTAGGAGAAGAGGGCCCATCACTGGGCAGGTCCTGACCACCAGGCCCCATGCCAGGCATGATGCTTACTTTTGCTCAATGAATTCCCCATCCCCCTCAGGGCATTTCTTACAACTCTCATTTTACAGATGAGAGAGCCAAGGCCCAGAGAGGATAACTGTCCACCTGCCTGCCCAGATGTCCCCTCTGCCCAGGCTGCCCTGCTTAGCCAGCCTATCTTACAGAGTTACCTCTCCTGTTTCTAGGGCAGCAGAGATGACTTGGGTGGTTATGTGGACCCAGGACTGGCCCTGCAAGATGCACAGGTGAGGCTACCCCTCAGCAGCTTTGCCTTCCTGGCCACCTGGCCCCACCCTCTGCCATCTAGACTCCAGGCAGGGCAGTGTGGGAGGAGGGGGTTCTCTGATGATGCTAGGCTGAGACCCGACTCAGCTCTCTGCAGGCCTTTATCTTCTGATGTCTACAGAGGGAAGTGAGAGTGTAGGGGAGGAAGGAAGCTGATTTGAGTGGGATCCACTGAAACTCTGCCCTGGCAGGACCAGCCTACGAATCTGGGGATGCTGGGCCTCCAAGGCCCAGATGTGTGCTCTCAGGTCTCTATAAATCTGCCTGCTGACAGAGCGCTTATAACTGCCTAGAGGCAGGGTGAAGCCCAGGGCAAGGCGGGGCAGTTCCCAGAGCAGCCCGAAGAAGAGAACTGAACCATGGGAAGAGCAGGCTCCCCATCAAAAAGATGATCAAGCAGAGGAGAATGCCGACCTGGCAGGGTGGACTGGGGGTGGTCCTTCACCCCCTTGCTCACCTTCACTGGTTGTCATGGGTGTCCCAATGCCAGGATCTGTACGCAGCAGGGGAGAAGATCTGTGGGACAGATGAGATGAAGTTCATCACTATCCTGTGTACACGCAGCGCCACACACCTGATGAGAGGTACCGGGGAGGCAGGGCGGCGATGTCAGGACCATGAGGGATGGGCGCCTCTCCCTTCATACTGAATACTCAGGGTGTGGCCGTGTCAAGACATGGAGTTGGGGAGAGCGCTGAGAACCCTTTTCCCAGCAACCAAGTGGAAGTCAGGGGTGGTGAATTGATGTATAGTCTCTGATGTAAGATGTTGGGGGATGTCAGGCAGAGATGCACATGTCGGCTAAGAGAAGGCTCTCTCCACAGTGTTTGAGGAATATGAGAAAATTGCCAACAAGAGCATTGAGGACAGCATCAAGAGTGAGACCCATGGGTCGCTGGAGGAGGCGATGCTTACAGTAGGTAAGAGATGGAGCTCCATGCTCAGGTACACATGTGTCTCCCGGCCCTGGGGCTCAGTGTAGGGGCAGCATCAAAGGGCGAAGGGCCCAGAGCTCAATAGCAAGTGCTGGGTCCCTGTGCTCACCATCAATCAAGGTAAACCTCCATATCAGCCCCCACTCTCAGCATGTACCATCCACCCAGGACACTGGAGCTACTGGGGAAGACCCAGAGTCCTCAAAGTGTTCTGTCCTGTCCGAGACCATTCCCTGTGCTGCCCATGTAGTTCCCAGCCCTGTGTACGTCATTGTGCACGAATATGCGTGTGAAGGTGTCTGAGTACGTGAATGTACATGTATGCACACATTTGCAGGATTGTGCAAGACCCAGGGGCTATGCTCACCCACAGCAGCCACACAGAGAACATTCTGGCTTTGACTGTGAAGGTCCAAAAAAGCCAACTAGCAGGACCTCAGCCAGGGGTATGTTCCCTGCCTCAGTTGCTGACTGAAGAAAGGATGATATGTAGTTGGAGTCCAAACTGAGTAATGGGTCATCTGTTGCTAGGGGAACGCTGAGAACCTTCCCCCAAGCATGAGGTCAGATTCACATAGGAGGACCCATTCCATAGCGCAGCCTGGAGTCCAGAGCCAAAGTGACAGGCAGAAGGGTCATTGCAGAATGAAGAACTGAGGCCCAGAGCAGAGGGACTTCCCTCCTCCCTCCCATAATAGAGCCAAGGTCACCTCCACACCAGGTTGTCCCCATTGGCTGCCAAGTAGCTTGGGAGCTTCACAGTATGTCCTGGTCCCTAAAAGTTGATCGGGACATCTGACACTCCCCAGCCACCTTTGATTGCTGTGATAAACCTAATCTATGCCAGAGCATCTAAACATGACCTCTACTCCAGTCTCAACTTCCACAGGCAGCCCCTGCCTCTAAACAACTCCTAAATAAAATCTACAGGCAAGGAGAAGCAAGACCCTGCAGTGCCCTTCTGGGCTGGACACCTCCTGTTCATTTCTCCTTGAAGACTCACATCACTGTCTTCACATGTGAGGACAGTGCAAGGCAGGGAGATCAAGTCACTAACACACAGTGCCATCAGGCAGGGTTCAAACTCATGCCTAGCTAGCTCCCTCAGAGCCCTCCTCTTTCTGCTGCCTTGGGTCAAAATGCCAACCTCCCCACCCAGACACTCGGTCTCTAAAGCAGCATCCATGAAAGACAGTGTGGGGCCAGGCGCTCTGGAGCCAAGCCCCATCTGTCACAGGGGAATTCAATCTGCAGGGGTCCTCTGACAAGTGACACTCAGAGGCCAGTGGTCACCATATGGTGGCTCCTCCTTGGAGCTGTGTGGATGGACTCTTAGTGAAGCTGTCGCTGGAATGTAAGAGCCCAAGGACTCCCTTGGTGGAGCTGTGGTCCGATGGGCCAGACCAACCCTGTGGGCCCCAGTGCATTTCACATCCTGCCCTTTTGTCTGCCTGCTCTGGGCCTCGGCACCTGTGCCCAGCACCCTGGGCTTCCTTCCCTGCCCCACCCCTCCTGACACAGAGTCTTTCAGGACTAAGCAGAGCACCAATAAATAGGCCAAGATTTGCACAACCCTTAAGACCCAAAGCAAGACATAAATAAATAAACATGTATACAATGCTGCCTACAGCCTCTGGTTGCTAACACAACTTTCCTGTTTGCCAGTGAAATGCACACGGAACCTCCATAGCTACTTTGCGGAGCGCCTTTACTACGCCATGAAGGTAACTTTTGTTTTCTATGTGCCTGACCCTCAGTCCTACATGGCACCAGTTGCAAAGCCAAGGAGCTCAGAGCCACCACCCAATTCTTCCACACTTGGGTCTCCTCTGATCCCAGCCTCTTGTGGATCAGGCTGGTTTTAGTTCTCAGTGGGCAAGTCAAGGCTAGAGAAGGGAAGCCACATCTCCTGAAGGCTGGATTTGAGCAGGTGTGCTCCCAGGTGTTCATGGCACTGAACTTTTACCACAGTCCTTTGACACTTCATGATGCAATCTGCCCTCCCATCTGCCCCCTGCAGAGATGATGAAACTGTGGTCAAGGTCACATAGCTGATACATGGCAAAGCCTTGATTTGAACCCAAGTCAGTGCAATTGTCCTTTTAATTTATTTATTTATTATTGTCCAAGTGGCTTCCTTGAGAAAACACAGGATTGCCAGGAGGTCAAGGCACCCTTTGAATGGACACATTCAGAAAGAGACTGCCACACACAGCAGTTCAACTTTCCTGCATGTGCCAGAATGCCGATCTGGGTTTGCCTATTGTCCAAAAGGCTGCACTGGTCACTCAGACAGCACTTCAAATGCTCATATTAGGTGCAAGTTGTGATATCTGGAACCACATTAGAAGACAGATAGTCAAAATAATTCCTGAAGGTTAAGGTGAGGGCCCACCTTTTCTGATTGATGGTTGTTAACATTACCTGAAGCAAGAACACCAAGCCCTCTGGTTGCATCTGTCCAGGGAAATGAAAAAGGGTGTGGGATTCCTGTGGCCATGTGGCTCCTTCCGACATAAGAATATTCAAGGATGAAAGTGAGAGGGAGGGTCCTGTTTGTGAATTGTCCAGTTAAGCAGAGTTCATGATGTTACTGCCCTAGGAAGAGGTCTTATTCCTGGAGCAAAGAGAATTTTGTGTCCAGAATCAAATCAAACACACACTGCAGCCTGGAGCATTTGGCTACTAATAGGAAACAATATGAGCAGTGAGCAAGGAGAGATCAAAGGATCCCTCAGTGCATCCCTCTAGTGCTTCACTGTCGTTCCTGTTGCCCCATCCCCTACAAAAGCCCCCTGGACCCAACATAGATTTGTCATTATCACTAAGATGGACCAGGAAGGCAGGAAGTGACGGCTGATTGCTATGTTTTATCCAGGGAGCAGGGACTCTCGACGGGACCCTGATAAGAAACATCGTTTCCAGGAGTGAGATTGACTTAAATCTTATCAAGAATCAGTTCAAGAAGATGTACGGCAAGACCCTCAGCAGCATGATCATGGTGAGTCATGAGCTCCCAATTCTAACACCAGTTTGAAACAGAGACCTTCTGAGAAACCTGACTGCTGAGACCAATGCCATCAGTCACATGTGTCCATCCCTTCCCAGGGAGTATCACACCCTTGCATTCATTGCTGTGTGGTACATACAGGGATCAGCAAGGAGGTCGGTGTGACTAGTGGAGGTCCCTGTTCACCCAGAAAGTTAGCTTTGCCTTTGCCTTATGGTTACCCCTTTGAAAATGACACACCAAATCCTTGCAGAATGAACCATATCTGAACAGTCAATGAGAGTAAATAGTTTAGGAGGAATTGAGGAGTAGCATTCAAATACAGATTTAAGTAGTCCTGGCAGCAACATTTAAAGGAGATAAATCATATGAGCTTCAGTGGGTTGCCTAACATGATTCCCATTAGTGAACGTTCTAGAGTTGAGAAAATGCAGAGCAATTATCACACTGCTGTAACTTCAAGAGAAATAGCTCTTCTAGCTGCTAATGTCAGTTGAGACCTTGACAATTTTATTAATGAAAGTCAAGTCATGAGAAATATATTCCTAAGTCTTCACTGGCTACTAAGTCAAGTGTCTAGTTATTCTACAAATGCCTATTATTCGCTATACTTTTCAAGAAACACATAGCTTATGAGATGTTTAAAAGACATTTTGCCTTTCAGAAGTTTCAGAATGCAGCAATAGGTGGTCAGGGTGAGGGGTGGGGGGTGTGTGGTGGCAGTAGGAATAGCCTGAAATGGAAAACAAGGAAAAATAGGGTGACAGTGTGAGGGGCGGTAGCATAGGAACCAGTACAAGTATGTTCCAGGACTCCCCCCAAGAAACACAACTCCTAATAATAAGAGCTCCTGATGGTGGTGACTCCAAGCCAGGTCAATGTCCTTCTAACCAAACTCCCTTCTAAATCTCATGTCCTTCCTGTCCTCAGGAAGACACAAGCGGTGACTACAAGAATGCCCTGCTGAACCTGGTAGGCACCGACCTCTGAAGCCTCAGAAGGACAAGAGCAAAGGCCAAGAAGGCGGAGTCACTGGGTCCTGCTTACTCAACCTTGGCCATGGATGGGGGTGGGGGTGGGGGAAGCCACAGCACAGCTTTCAGTCTTCTATCTCCCAGCTTCTAGCACTTTCCACCCAGTTTCTCTGACCCAGAAGGAAGGATCAGCCTGGGACTCTTACCTCTACTGTCCTTCCAAGTCAATTGAAGGTGTGAGCACATTGCCAACCTCAGGATATACTGTGCCTGTTCTAACAAATACCTTGATGTGAAGGAGTCTGCAAGAGCTTGTAATCGTTTCTTTCTCCCTACACAAGCGCTTCCCAAGCCTGCCTGGTCAGAGCCCCCTAGGCACAAGTTACATAAAGACTCAGCCCCACCCCCATCTACTAATCTAGATCTGCAGAGAAAGGACCAGAGAATAGGGAATTTTAATAAGTGTCTCAGCTGGTATGCCTCTCTTTCAGACAACCAGAGAAGGCTGTAAGAACCTATTTGTTTCAGAGCACGTACTCATGGGCAGCTGAGAAAGGAACACATATATCCAGGCCAGCTGGGCTGTCTAACATTCATTCACCAGCTTCATCTAAAAATACTAAGCTATAGGTAGAAGAGAAATTCTCTCATCATCCTACCAACAGAGAAAGCTGAAAATAAATGTCCTTACACAAAGACACTGTTTTAAGAGGCTTGGGCTTCTCTAACTCTTGACAAAATTAGGTCCTCCTTCCTTCCATGACAGAGCATGGAGAATCTCTAATGCTAACCAGTGTCAATGGCAACTGATTACAGGAGAAACTGAGATGCCTGTGTTGTGCTTTTCAGAATAATAAAGATTTTTTACATTGGAATATAAGTGTCTTTGGATTTTTAGCAGTGACCAAAGTAGGACCACTTGAATTAGCCAGATTGAACCCCATAGAGCCTACTGTCCTGATTATGCCATTTAGGGCCACAAAGCTTATCTTTTTCCATTAACAACATTTCTAATCTCTAAATACAGCCCACATATTCTGCCAAGACTTCTTCTGTCAAAACCAAATGTCCCTGATCCCTTCAACTTTCCCTCCTAAGGCCCAGTTTGCAGCCAAGTCCTCTGAACATGCTCTAGCTTGCAAACTCCATTCTAGAGTACAATCCCAAGAACTGGGTTTGTTTGGTGGTTGGTTGGTTGGGTTTTTTTTTTTTCAGGGTTAGACAATAAGATTATGTGTCCATGTCAGGTCCAGGTTCATGCCACCCTGGTGGGGTTTCAATCCACTTACAAGCATCTTGTCAGAATGCCTGTCAGGGATCCATAGGCCAGGACCAGGCTTTCCTTGTGCGGGTCATCACATCACAATAATGCTTTGTTAAAGTGCAGATCAATATGCAGCTTTGGGAAGGAAATACCTGGGAGTGAATAGTGAGGCAAATCAGTGGGGTTTTAAGTTCACATAGAGGAGAGGTAGATTCTGGCTGTGCGTTGCACTGGTTCTGTGACTCTGACCATCACTTCACACATGCAAGTGGGTGTGAGAGAGAGAAAGCCTTATATTCCTTAACTTTTCCTGCATGGGTGGAGACTCAGTTGTAATCACTGCTTTCAAGTTACCCCAAAGTGAGTGATAGAAAAACCATCATTTTATGATGCTCCTGGGTTCTGTAGGCCAGGAATTCAACTGGAGCACAATACAGGTAACTTGTCTCTGCTTCAGCAAGACTGAGGACAGTGTTGGGAAGACCCCAAAGTCAGGAGAACACTAGGGCAGGTACCAGAATCATCTGGAGACTTCTTTACTCACAAGTTGGGTGCTGATGAGATGGCTGAAAGTCTGGGCTCCTACATGCAGCTTCACCAGGATGGGGCTCCAGGGTAGTGGGATCACTTCCATGGTGGCTCAGGGCTGTTTTACCTTCTGTGACAGAACCTCACAGAGATCACTTCCATGATGTCCTGTTGGTCAAAATCACCATGAGCCAGACCATCTTCAAAGTAAGGAAACACAGTCCCCATCCATCAATGGGCGAATATCAAAGAATTTGGTGGCCAATTTCTTAAACCCTGAACAAGCGGCTTAAATACTGAACAACTCATGCAGTCCTTTGTGCATGGCTGCTGTCTACAGGGCTGGATCGGGGTCCAGGGGGCCCCTGAAGGGTCAGGTCTCAATCCCTACTGCTGGGTTTCGGGGCTATCTGTCAAGTCCCAGGCAAGGCCCTCGGGTGGTGATGATTCTTTTCTTCTATTTTTGGCTCAGGCCCTCCCCTGAACTTTCTTCCAGTGCTGAGTCACTGAGTCACTTTCGGCCAAAGCCCTTTAGAAAGGATGCAGGATCCCTCCACCCTGCAATCCATTGGAATGCTAGTTCTCTGGGTAGAGGAGTCCCTTGGGGCCCACCCCAAAACCAGCCTGACATGTCCAAACAGAAGCTTCAAGAAAGTCTGCAGTCAAGAAGACAGCCTAGGAAACACGGTGGTGTCCAACTCTGTGCCCAGCAAGGCAGTGTGTTTAGCAGAACCATGCAGTTCACCCATCACTCCCGATGGAGCAGAATGGAGGACTCCTAGTCCTCACAGGGAGGAAACAGGAGGTCTCTTCAGATTAGAGGTATGCTCTCTCTTCCTGGGGTCACAGTTAGAGCAGCCAGGGGTCATGTGTCCTCCCTGTGATGTGGCTCCTATGTAGCTGAGGGCATTCTCCGGAGAAGGGACCAGCTGACTCTCATGGCTCCTGGGACAAAGGGCAACGGCTGGCAAAGGGACGTGGCCAGGACACTGGTCGTTTCCTCTATATCTCCAAATCATTTTTGCTGGACAACAGCAAATACTTCTGATAAAATACTACTGAATACTAAAATACTTCTTTTTGAATACTTCTGATAAATCAGACACATTCCTAAGGTACTTTTGCAATTGCTCTTCTGTATAGTTTTATTTTGTTTTGTTTGTTTTAATGCATCTATGTTCTTCAAGACAATTGAGAGTCTGATCAGTTTGATTTCAGTAATGAAGGAAATGACAGGGTATGTGTACCCTGCTCAAGGCTCTGTAATGAAAAGTGTTGTTTTGTTTTCTAACTCTCTACAATACATTATGAGGGGCTTCCTAGGTGGCTCAATGATAAAGAATCCACCTGCCAATGCAGCAGGTGCAGGAGACACAAGTTCGATCCCTGGGTCAGGAAGATTCCCTGGAGGAGGGCATGGCAACCCCCTCCAGTACTCTTGCCTGGAAAATCGCATGGAGAGGGGAGCCTGGCGGGTCACAAAGAGCCAGACATGACTTAGAGATTGAGCAGCACAGCACAATACTTTGTAAACACATGAACTTTCTCATTATCCACAGATCCAGGGTTTCTCAATCTCTGAAGCTGCATTCATTTTCTTCCACTGCAATGGCGGGGAAGAGCAGAAATCTACTCAGCTGAGTTCAGTTTGTTCTACACATGATTTGAGACATCATTTTCACTGGGCACAAGATTCTGTGAGATATCAAATGAACTTTCATAAATTCTTCTTTCGCTTATACTATCCAGAGAGGATGATCTTGTTAGAAACTATGAAATCTCTCTATTATATAGATTCACTGCCCTTATAGCATCAGAGGATAATTATCTGATTTTGTGTCTCCTTCCAAAATGCGGTGAGCTCCTTTAGGGCAGAAACTTGGTTTTGTTCATTTGTGAACATGCAGTGATTGGCACATAGCGGACATTCTGTGAATATTTTTGAACAAATAACAACAAGCAAGAGTATGGATTTTGAGGGGAGAGAAGACCCAATGGCCATCAAGCCTGAGCTAGTCCTTCATCATCTCTGATCCTGAGAAGATTCTCTGGACCGTTTGGATTTCCCCGAGGAGGGACTCAGCCCACCCAGTGAAAACAGTCCTGAAAAGGATTTATTGTAGAAGGAACTTCTCACAACTCTCTTGGCACCTACTTGGTACCAGGCCCTGTTTCAGATTCTGACACTGCAGTGACAAACAAGCCCAGCAGAATCAGTCCTTGATTGAGCCCCTTTATAAGAGCTCACCACCTCCAACCACTATCCTGTGGAAATGCAGGCAATGGCCAGAACCAGGCACATGCCCACACATGTCCACCAGAACTGACTTCTTACTGTCAAAGGAACAGGGCCAGTATGCTTGGCCTGGCCTCTTTCATGTTTCTCCTTAAGCACCGGGTCACTCGGCTGAAGTTGAATACTTGGACAAAATCAGGATTTCTTGGTAAGACACAAAAGGAAGAATAGATTTGGAGGCAACATCCTACATTGTCCATTACCAAGCAGTCAACCTGTAACCAGTTTGGAGCTGGCCAGGTAAGCCTTCATAAAGAAGGAGATGCTTGAGCAGGGTCTCAAAGGATGACTCACTGCTTATCAGTTAGACAGGACAGGAAGAACATTCCAGGCATAGGGAGGAATGCAAACATCCAAGAAGTCTGGTCTCTATCAGACAACAGGGATGATATGTTCATGCCAGTGGAGCTGGGAAAGTCCAAAGATAAAAATGCCAAGGGTCAAGTCAGGGAAGGCTTGAGCTATCAGGCTGAGAGATTCAAACTATTTCCAAGGAAATGGGAGCCTTTCAGCATCAGGAAAGGGGTATCAGGGATGAATCTTAGTAAGATTTCCATCAGTAGTATGGAAGATGAGCATGCCTGCATGATTCTGGAGTCTCAGAGCCAAGAGTGAAGCTTTCGCAACTACTGACAGTGATGCCCTCCACCTTTCCAGTCTAGCGCTTTGTGGTCCTGGAGATAATTGTTGAGAAAGAAGCTGAGTTTGGACACTCTCTGTCCGGATCCTGGGAAGTGAAATCTTTCTATGCAGTTGTGGTGGCGTCCCAGGCCACTGTATCTCTGTCTCCATAGTGAGGAGCAGATGCTGATTTCACAGCTCTCATCATCAGCCTGTAAATTCTGAAATAACTCTGTGAGCTCTGAGCCTGAATATGAGATTCTGGGGACTTCCATGATCCCAAGTAGTTATCCAAGCTCCCATGTAGGATTGGGCCAAACTGGGCCTGTCTGATGTCCTTGTGTCCTCTGTCTACCTTTGTTCCCCTGCCAGTCTATTCTTGGCTCTGGGCCTGGCCCTGAGGCTGAGCTCTGATGGAATTCTGGGGCTACCAGCTTGGGGATTAGGGCTTGTACCATCTCTGTGATGTGTCCTAGAGCTGGACTCTCATCAGCATCTCTCTGACCTGAACTCCAGAGGTGCCTGACACTCAGCTTAACTGGACATGCTCACCTCGCTCTGTCTGGGCCAGTCAGCTCTGACCAAGAGCCCTGCTTCGTAGCCAAGCCTTTCTCTCCATAACTCTCCTAATCCTGGAATGCCTTGCTGCCAGAGTGACCAGTGTAGCCATGCGTGAACCATGGCAGCCCTACCCCTGTGTCTGCCATCTATAGCTCCTCACAGATAAATTCCGTCTCCCTCACCTCCATCCCACTCTGCCATAAATTGATCCTAATTAAAACAGAAGTCATTCATCTCAGCTCTGCCCCTGGTCTGGTGGGACATGGGCCATCGTCCCCTAACCTAAGATGAACTGACCCACCACAGACACCAGACTGCCATATTCCCTGGGTCTCCCTGGAGCAGACTGACTGGGACCTGTTGCTCCCTGTTGCCCTTGGTTTCAGCCCCTGCTCCCACTCCTGGTTCCAGCCCCTTCTCCCACTCCTGGTTCCCCTGATAGGCCCATTTCCAGGTCTGAGTTCTGAGGGGCAGACCCTTTCACACCTCAGGTAAAGTCACTGCTGCACCCTCTTCCCTGCCCCCCCCCATGTGACCGCATGTGACTTGTAAGGCCTCCTCTGGCCCTCAAGAGCCAAAACCACCTTCACACAAGCAGGCAGAGC